AAAGCACCCCCCCCCCCCCCCCCCCCCAACATTATTTGAAACAGTCCCCTTCTAGCTCTAACTTCCTAGAAAGAACTCTGCTGGTAAGGGTCAGAATTTATTAAAACACAGTTAGCAATAGGCCAATCCAGGTAGTTATTCCAAGCCTTCATTGTTCTGAAAAAGTCTTTTATGGTCACTATCATTTTTTTTAGAAAATTAGAAATAACAATATGTAGAAATAAATGTTAAACAACATAATATCATTTTCTCACCCCAATGTGACAAGTAGTAATAAATATTATTTATCATTAGCAAAATAAATACAAGAAGAGAAAATCTCTGCCCCCAAAAGTTGACGGATTCAGACATAGTTTTACCTGCTGGCTGCTTCCACCTTCAGAAGTGTGGGGGAACCTCAGATCCCAGAGGTATCCCCTCCCCACCTCATATCTCAGGGTATGTCTACACTGCAGAGTTTTTTTGGAAAAATGGCTGTTTTTCTGAAAAATCTTCAGTTATGTCCACATTGCAATCGTGTTCTTTCTACAAAAAGTCGAAAGAATGGAGGGGTTTTTCCGACAGCGGTAAACCTTTTTCTGTGAGTGTTTGGGTAGAACGCCTTTTCTGAAAGAGCTCTTTTGGGAAAAGGCCTGTATGGACAGGGAAGAGAGTTTTCTTTTGAAAGAAGAGGCCTCCAGGAAATAACACAGGTGCTCTGGTGGCCACTCCATCCAAACTAATCATAACTCTATAGTTCCTGTCTCCTGGCACCTCTTAAAGCTGCAGGCACCCTGGACAAGCACCTGACTGCACAGCTCTCCCTGCTACCCACACTGTGAGCAATGGCCGAGCCATAAGTCCCCCGAGGCCCTCCCAGGGCTCCCAGGACCCACCCGGGGGTACCAAGCAGGAGCACCCTCCTGGTCTTGAGCAGAGATCCTGTCCCTCCTTAAGCTGTGGGGGGAGGAGGAGACCCTATAGGATCTCCGCTCCAGACGCCGCAACGCCAACATATATGGCTACATGGCCGAAGCCCTGTAGAAGTGGGCACACCCACCCCAGACCTTAGAACAGGTCCAGAGTAAAGTCAAGGAGCTCTGGCAGGGCCATGCGAGGGCCAGAGAGCGCAGCTTGTGGTCCGGGGCAGGACCGGACTCCTGCCCCTACTATCAGGAGCTGCACCAGATCTTGGGAAGTGGGGAAGCCCTTTCCCCACTCGTGGTGGTCAACTTGGGTCCAGTTATCCCTCCCGCAAGGCTGGGCGACAGGCTTTTA